AGGTGATCTACCCGCCTCGGCCTCCCAAAGTGCTGGGATTACAGGCATGAGCCACCGTGTCCAGCCTTAGTATTATTTTTTGGTTTTGGGTTCTTCTTTTTTTTAGACAGAGTTTTGCTCTTGTCACCCCAGGCTGGAATGCAGTGGTGCAATCTCAGCTCACTGCAACCTCCACCTCCCAGGTTCAAGTGATTCTCCTACCTCAGCCTCCCAAGTAGCTGGGATTATAGGCATGTGCCACCATGCTAGGCTAATTTTTGCATTATTAGTAGAGGTGGAGTTTTACCATGTTGCCCAGGCTAGTCTTGAACTCCTGACCTTAGGTGATCTGCCCACCTCGGCCTCCCAAAGTGCTGCGATTATAGGCGTGAGCCACCGGGCCTAGCCAGTATTACTTTTAATTCATGACAGGCTCACCGTTGTCACAGTCTTGCCAGCCACACGAATGGGAGCAGGGAAGGGCGTTTTCCTTGTGGCTGTCCCTCCCTCTTCCCTCAGGCCTGGTCTCCAAGGCCCCAGGCTGGCCCTGGCTTGAGGTCTGCACACACAATGGGCCTCTCTAAGCAGCAGACAGAGGCATGTTGGCTGCCAGCTTGGGCCCAGACTGTGGTCACAAACACAGCCCTCTGGCTGAGAACAGGATCAGGATGTTTCTGCAAAGCCCTGACCTAGCAGAAGAAATGTTCTAGGAGGCGGGCTGGGGTTGCTGAGGCTCAGCTGAGCCCCTAACTTAGGCCAGGGAAGTAAGGCTCTAGCTGACACCAGGAGTTTGTTGGTAATACTTGTTCTCTCAGGACATTCTCAGGGGATTCACTACCCACTGAGCTGGAAAAACATCCAGCTGCCTTGCCAAGTTCATATCCAAAGGACAGGCCATCCTTCCACAGCCCCTTGGAGGTGGCCTCGGTAATGGGATGTGAGCAGGGAAGTGCCGAACAATGTGGCCAGTGATTGGGCTCCAGGGGGAACCCAGGCCCAGAGAGGCTCCCAGGAACCCTGGCTCCAGACTGGGCAACTGCCAGGCCTGGACCTTCTTCACTAACTCCCCAAAGTCTCAAGGACCAGCCACAGTCCAGCATCCTCCTACCCTCCAGACTTCTCCGATCACTCTTGCCATTCAGAGATTCCTGACTCCAGTGCCTTCCACCACTCCTCCTCCCCACTTTGTGCTATCTTGGGTGGAATGACGTCCCTCCATGAGATCTTGGGCCAGGAGAGCAGGTTGAAAAAAAACGTCAGCTAAGGAAAAGTGGGGAAAAACATGAAGGCCACACCCTTCTTCCTCTCACCCCAGCCATAGGCAGGGTTTACCAAGGAATGATCTTGTCCTCTGAAACGTCTCAGAGAATATAAGAGTAGGGGCCCCTCAGTCCTGGGATGATGCACATGTTACTTCTTTACTGCATCTAGAGCCTTGCTAATCAATTCCAGCTCCTTTCTGCTGAGCCCAGACAAAGCTTCCCAGTTCTTCCAAATATGGAACTTCCAGAGCTACCAGTGGAGCTGACACTTATACTCTTTTTTTTTTTTTTTTTTCAGAGATGATGTCTCACTGTGTTGCCCAAGCTGGTCTCAAAATCCTGGGCTCAAGTGATCTGCCTACCTCAGCCTCCCAAAGTGCTGGGATTACAGGTGTAAGACACCAGCCTGGCTGAAGCTGTCACTCAAAATGAAAGCTATTGATCACATCTGATCTAGCCTAAAATAGAAAAACTAAGGACCCTAGAAGGTAGGGGTCTTACCCAAGGCTAAACAGAGATTTATAACAGAGCACACAGGATTTCAAGCACTGGCTTTTTTTTTTTGAAACAGAGCCTTGCTCTTTTTCAGGCTGGAGTGCAGTGGTGCAATCTTGGCTCACTGCCACCTCTACCTCCTGGGTTCAAGCAATTCCCCTGCCTCAACCTCCCAAGTAGCTGGGATTACAGGCACCCGCCACCACGCCCAGCTAATTTTTGTATTTTTAGTAAAGACAGGGTTTTATCATGTTGGCCAGGCTGGTCTTGAACTCCCAGCCTCAGGTGTTCCCCCTGCCTCAGCCTCCCAAAGTGCTGGGATTACAGGCATGAGCCACCATACCCAGCATACTAAACTTTCAAACAACAGAAACTAAAAGGGCTTTCAAATCAACCAAAATATGACATTTCAATGAATGTCAGTGGTTTCAACTCGCATTGCTGGCTATAAATATCAAAATAATGAGGTATGTGGGGGAAAGTCTCTTATATCCATATCATTTATGTGGGATTCTATTATTTAACTTTGCCATTAAAATATGATTGATATACTTAAGCTTTTAGGGACCAACACTCTAGAGTCAGCCTTTTTTAGGCATCAAAAGAATTCATCTAGACTGGGCACTGTGGCCTGTAATCCCAGCAGTTTGGGAGACTTAGGTGGGAGGATCCCTTGAGCCCAGGAGTTGGAGACCAGCCTGGGCAACATGGTGAAATCCTGTCTCTACAAAAAGTGCAAAAATTGCCCAGGCGTGATGGCTCACACCTGTAATCCCAGAACTTTGTGGGGCCGAGGCAGGTGGATCATGAGGTCAGGAGTTCAAGATCAGCCTGGCCAATATGGTGAAACCCCTTCTCTACTAAAAATACAAAAAATAAAAATAAAATAAGCCAGGCATGGTGGCACATGCCTGTAATCCCAGCTACTTGGGAGGCTGAGGCAGAAGAATTGCTTGAACCCAGGGGGCAGAGATGGCAGTGTGCCGAGATCACACCACTGCAATTCAACCTAGGCAACGGAGCAAGACTCCATCTCAAAAAAAAAAAAAAAAAAAAGCAAAACTTAGCTGGGCATGGTGGTGTGCATCTGTAGTCCCAGCTACTCAGGAGGCTGAGGTGGGAGGATTGTTTGAGCCCTGTGGGGTGGAGGGTGCAGTGAGCCAAGATCGTACTACTGCACTCCAGCCTGGGTGACAGAGCAAGACCCTATCTCAAAAAGAAAAAGAGAGGCCGGGCGCGGTGGCTCACGCCTATAATCCCAGCACTTTGGGAGGCCGAGGTGGGTGGATCACGAAGTCAAGAGATCGAGACCATCCTGGTCAACATGGTGAAACCCCGTCTCTACTAAAAATACAAAAATTAGCTGGGCATGGTGGCACGCGCCTGTAGTCGCAGCTACTCAGGAGGCTGAGGCAGGAGAATTGCTTGAACCCAGGAGGCGGAGGTTGCGGTGAGCCGAGATCGCGCCATTGCACTCCAGCCTGGGTAACAAGAGCGAAACTCCGACTCAAAAAAAAAAAAGAGAAAAAAAAATGCTTCCATGGCATTTAAATAGATATACCTAAAATATAAACTAAAACAAAAACGAATGGGAATTGAGGTCTGAGGCCACAAGAAGGTCAAAGATCAACCAGGGACCCAGAGCCTGTTTGCTTCTTTGGCCTCTTGGAGACTCCTTTAGGGAAACCAGGGCAACCCAGCAGGATTTGGGCCTGGGACTCAACTCAGCAGCTTCTCTGGCCACGTTTTTCTCCATCAGCCCCCGCCACCTCCCTGTGCCTGTTCTGGGCCATAAGCCAGAGACACATTCCTCAGGCCCCCACGGGCTTCCAGAGCTGACAGAGGGAAGTTTGAGGAAAGGGCTGAGCAAAGCAGAAACCTCTTAAGAGACATGGCACCACACAGTCATGGGACAACCTCAGCAGGAGGCCTATAACAACTGATGGGGAAACTGAGGCCCAGAGAGGGCAAGGGTCCATTCCAAGACCACACTGTGAGGGAACAGCAGAGAAAGCCCTCCCACCAAAGTTCCCCCACAAAACTCCTCTCTGATCTTCACTGAAAGGATTTGATGTCCTGCTATATAAAAGCCAAGGCTTCCGGGTACAGTGGCTCACGCCTATAATCCCAGCACTTTGGGAGGCCAAGGCGGGTGGATCACCTGAGGTTGGAAGTTCGAGACCAGCCTGACCAACATGGAAAAACTTGTCTCTACTAAAAATACAAAATTAGCTGGGTGTGGTGGCACATGCCTGTAATCCCAGCTACTCAGGAGGCTGAGGCAGAAAAATCACCTGAACCCGGGAGGCAGAGGTTGCGGTGAGCTGAGATCATGCCATTGCACTCCAGCCTGGACAACAAGAGCAAATCTCAGTCTCAAATAAATAAATAAATAATAAAATAAGTAATTTTTAAAATTAAAAAATTTTTTAAAAGCCAAGGTTTCCAGCTGCAGTGGCTCATGCCTGTAATCCCAACACTTTGGGAGGCCAAGGAGGGCGTATCACCTGAGATCAGGAGTTCGAGACCAGCTGGCCAACATGACAAAACCCCATCTCTACAAAAATATAAAAATTAGCTGGGTGTGGTGACACACACCTGTAGTCCAAGCTACTTGGGAGGCTGAGGCAGGAGGATTGCTTGAACCCAGGAGGCAGAGGTTGCAATGAACCAAGATCATGCCACTGTACTCTAGCCTGGACAAAAGAGCAAGATTCTGTCTCAAAAAACTTAAAGTAAAATAAAAGCCAAGGCTTCTTCCAAAGGAGGATGGGTCTTAGGGTTTTAGGGCCCCCAGGACCTAAAAAAACCTGGAGTCAAGAGCTCTCCACGCCCCACAGGAAAGAATCTGAGCTACCCCTTCCCCAGTCCACATTCCTCTCTCCCTGTGTCACTCAGGGGCTGGCACACTCTGCCATGTACCTTTTTGCCCTCGTTGCAACAACCCAGAAAGGCAAGAGCTACATCCCCATTTTACAGATGAGAAAACTGAGGCTCAGGAAAATGAAGTGACTTGTCCAGGGCCACAGAGCTAATGACTAGAAGACAGAAAATGCAAGCCAGGTCTGTTTGGCTCTGTGCCAGCTCCCCCTCTGCCACTCCACACTGTCTTCGGGCAGGTCCCCAGGTTCTGTTTCTGTTTTCAGTCCTGCCCACCTCCCAGCCCCCAGTGCTGGGATGGGACCTCTTGAGGCCTGGGAGAGGTAGGGAAGCAGTGGAACACCTCCCCCCAGCCCCTCTGGGCCCTGGAACGTCAGTGCTTACCCTCCAGCACCACCTCCTTGCCTGTCTTCTTGAGGGCCTGCACTGCCTCATCGTGGGTAGCAGAGGACAAGTCTTCCCCATTCACAGACAGGATGGCGTCCCCCACGAAAAGGGCCCCTGTCTGGTCAGCTGCCAGTCCCTTGAAGATCTTGGAAATGAGAATAGGCATCTTGTTCTCCCGGCCACCTGCACAGGCACAGAAGGAGGACAAGACTGAGGCAGACACTCCCACACCTGGGAGTCACAGCAAGGCAAAATTATTTCTGAAGGCTTCCCTTGGTGCCCAGCCCGGTGCTGGAAAAGGGAATGGGAGAATAAAGGGAATCTGAGAAAAGTCTTGGAAGTTTGGGACACTAATAATACTAATAATCAATCATTTTCTTTTCTTTTCTTTTCTTTTCTTTCTTTTTTTTTTTTTTTTTTTTGAGACAGAGTTTGGCTCTTATCACCCAGGCTGGAGTACAATGGTGCGATCTCAGCTCACGGCAACCTCCGCCTCCCCGGCTCAAGCGATTTTCCTGCCTTAGCCTCCCAAGTAGATGGGATTATAGGCATGTGCTACCACGCCTGGTTAATTTTGTATTTTTAGTAGAGATGGGGTGTCTCCATGTTGGTCAGGCTGGTCTCGAACTCCCAATCTCAAGTGATCCACCCATCTCAGCTTCCCAAAGTGCTGAGATTACAGGCACAAGCCACCACGCTCGGCCAATAAAACATTTTCCATCAGGTGCAGCGGCTAATGCCTGTAATCCCAGCACTTTGGGATGCCAAGGTGGGCAGATTGCCTGAGCTCAGGAGTTCAAGATCAGCCTGGGAAACATGGCAAAACACTGTCTCTACTAAAAATACAAAAATTAGCAAGGCATGGTGGCGTGCACCTATGGTCCCAGCTACTAGGGAGGCTGAGGTAGGAGGCTCGCTTAAGCCCAGGGGTTTGAGGCTGCAGTGATCTGAGATTGTGCCACTGCACTCCAGTTTGGGTGGCAGAGGGAGACCCTGTCTCAATTAATTAATTAATTAATCATTTTCAAAATTCATAATGCTATAGTTTGATCCCTGGATCTTTTGATTAAGTGCTTTGGGTGTTTAGCAGTGTTTGTATAACTTACAAAGTTCTTTAATCACTTTTTCTTAAATGTTTTTGATTTTCTCATGTAACCCATAAATATATACAAAAATTAAAATAGCCAGACAGGATGGCTCATGCCTGTAATCCCAGCACATTGGGAGGCTGAGGCAGGTCAATTATCTGAGATCAGGAGTTCAAGACCAGCCTGACCAACATAGTGAAATGCCGTCTCTACTAAAATTTAGTTGCAGGTGGTGGCAGGTGCCTGTAATCCCAGCTACTCAGGAGGCTGAGGCAGGACAATTGCTTTAACCTGGGAAGTGGAGGTTGCAGTGAGCTGAGATTGCACTATTGCACTACAGCCTGGGCAACAAGAGCAAAACTCCATTGCAAAAAATAAATAAATAATAAAATAAAATAAATATGGCCGGGCACAGTGGCTCACACCTGTAATCCCAGCACTTTGGGAGGCTGAGGCAGGCAAATCACCTAAGGTCAGGAGTTCAAAACCACCCTGGTCAACATGGCAAAACCCTATCTCTACTAAAAGTACAAAAATCAGCTAGGCATGGTGGCACATGCCTGTAATCCCAGCTGCTCAGGAGGCTGAGGCAGGAGAATCGCTTGAACCTGGGAGTCGAGGTTGTGGTGAGCCAAGATCACGCCATTGCACTCCAGCCTGGGCAACAAGAGCGAAACTCTAAATAAAAACACAAAATTAGCTGGGCATGGGGCACATGCCTGTAGTCCCAGCTACTCGGGAGGCTGAGGCAGCAGAATCCCTTGAACCCAGGAGGTGGAGTTTGCAGTGAGCCAAGATCACACCACTGCACTCCAGGCTGGGCAACAAAGCAACACTCCTTCTCAAAATAAAATAAAATAAAAATACAAACATTAGCCAGGCATGATGGTGTATGCCTGTAATCCCAGCTATGTGGGAGGCTAAGGCACGAGAACTGCTTGAACCCAGGAGGTGGAGGTTGCAGTGAGCCAAGATTGCACTACTACACTCCAGCGTGGGTGACAGAGTGAGACTCCATCTGAAAAAAAAGAAAGAAAAAGAAAAACAAAATTCTAAAAAAAATTTGGATTTGAAGCAGCAATGTGGGGCCTGGTGCAGTTGTTCATGCCTGTAATCCCATAACTTTGGGAGGCTGAGGTAGGCAGATCACTTGAGGTGAGGAGTTTGAGACCAGCCTGGCCAACATGGTGAAACCCTGTCTCTACTAAAAATACAAAAATTAACCAGGTGTGATGGCACACTTCTGTTATCCCAGCTACTCAGGTGGCTGAGACATGAGAACCTCTTGAACCCAGGTGGCGGAGGTTGCAGTGAGCCGAGATCATGCCACTGTACTCCAGCCTAGGCAACAGAGCAAGACTCTGTCTCATAAAAAAAAAAAAAAAAAAAGCAGCAATGTGGGAATCCACTGATAACCCTCAAACTGGAATCAAGATGGCAGTCAGCTATTCCTATGGCCTCAAAAGACTGCTTTAGCAATCATAATGTTTTACAACTCAAGGTCCAGGCTGGAAACCAAAGCCTTAAAGTCTAGAGATTCTAAAAGCCTGTCTGAATTACATATCGGATACAAAAGAAGCTAATACATTTTACTAGACTGCTTTATTACTTAACTGTGAAATGCCCTTTTAAAATAAGAAATAGTAATAACAGTTCTCCTTAGTTGCACGTATCAAATGCCAAGCACTGTGCTGAATGCTTTCAATGTTGTTTCATTGCATCTTTACAATACCCCATCTCATAGGCATGCTCAGTTTCCTATTAGGAAAACTGAAGTGTGGAGGGAAGCCCCTTGTCCAAGGTCACTGAGCTGGTAAGTAGCGAAGCCCGTATTTGCACCTAGGCCTCCAAGCTCCAGAACCAACACTATTCACCCTACGATAGATGGCATGTCAGGCCCTCAAATTTCACACTCCTGGCTCATCCCCAGAATGCTGAAGATGAGGAATTAGTGGCCCAGAGTGGGAGGTCATTATTCCAAGGTCACACAAGCTGGTGGTCAAGCTGGTGGAACACCTCTCTTGACCCCCACACAGGCCCAACAGTTTGCTTATCTGCACAGAGCTTGAAGTCTAGGAGAGAAAGGGGTTTCTATTTATATCTGCCCTCCCCCACCTGCAACTAGGGGTTTCAGTTCAGTTTGAAGCTATGATCACTCATTATGATCACTCATGGCTGCCTCAGACTAAGCTAGACTCTAGAGGAGGGGTTACCATGGCAACAAGAGCCCAGTCTCCATCCACAAGGCTTTGGATCCAATGATAGTACCTGAAGTCTCCTAAAAGTACCCTCCCCTCCACCTAGAAGTATGCAGCTGGGGGGCAACTTTGTGTGACCTTAGAAAGTCTGCTCCTCTCTGAGTCTCAGTGTGTCCTTCTGTAGAATGGAACTCTATAGGAATAAGTTCAGGCCAGGCACTGTGGCTCACGCCTGTAATCCCAGCACTTTGGGAGGCAGAGGCAGGCGGATCACGAGGTCAGGAGTTCAAGACCAGCCTGGCCAATATAGTGAAACCTCCCCCCCACTAAAAAAAAAAAAAAATTAGCCAGGCATGGTCGTGGGCACCTGTAATCCCAGCTACTTGGGAGGCTGAGGCAGGAGAATTGCTTGAACCCAGGAGGCAGAGGTTTCAGTGAGCCAAGATTATGGCATTGCACTCCAGCCCAGGTGACAGTGTGAGACTCCATCTCAAAAATAATAATAATAAATAAGTTCCTTCCTGCTCTGACACACTGAGTGTATAATTTTCGGATTGGTCTGTTGCCCTATCCCATGCTGGAGACTGGGGGTAAGACTGGTGCCCACATGCTCCTTTTTCCATTTCCCCTTTTTAGGTCCTCTTGGCTGCCTGGGGATCTGCCATTCTGCAGGAAAGAATCAACTTCCCTGAGCACTCTCTGGGGGATGGTAGCTGATAATTAAGGTTCAAATCCGAGGGCTGACACTCACTGTGTAATCGCAGGAAAATCATTTTACTTGTCTGAGTCTCAGTTTCTTCACCTGTGATATAGGATTATACTCCCTATCTTTCACCATTTGTTGCCAGGATGAAGTGGATCATGAAACTAGTGTCCTGGGCACAACACCTGGCACACAGTGGTGGCATTCACCACCATCCTCACTGCCTCAGCCAAGTCAAAGGGTCTGGAGGCGCTAGTGAACAGAACCAGTACTGGGGAGACCTGGGTGGGGACAGTACATATTCAAGGTGCAGAAAAAGGCTGACACCCTTTCCCAAAGCACCCCGCGGGGCTGGAACCCTAAGAAACAGATGGGCAGGAATGGTGAGCCCAGCAGCTGTGGGTGTGCAAGGATTTTAAGCACTATGTTTAGTTGCTTTGGGAGTATCTCCTGGCCTCCAATTTTCCTCTCTGCTAACAGCAGTAATTAGACAACCTACAATGTGCTGGTGTGGTGAGCCCTGCTCTCAGAAGTCACAACTCTATCATCTTCTTACACAGTTGAGGAAACTAGGATTCAGAGATGGGATGGGATTTGTGCAAGCTCACACAGCTGGTCATGGACTCAAACACAGTCTGGGTGCACTCTTCCTGCACCCTACTATCGGTCAGTCCTGGGGGCTGAAAGCTTTCTCTATCCTGTGCAAGGGTGACTCAGATCAGGAGACTCAAATCCAGCTGTCGGGGCTCCCCACAGCCTTCCTGTGTCCTTAGATTCCTAAGGCCTTGCTGGCCTTCTCTCTGTGACCCCAGCCTGTGCCTGCCTATCCACCCCTGTGCTTCTCAGACTCCAGGCCTCCTCTCTGCGCCCACCTTGGTTGCTTCTCAGGGACTCCCTTCTCCCTGCTCCACCGGTGTCCCGGCCTCAACCCCCTTTCTCCACTCTCTGCTTTCTGGGGGACCCCTCTTGTCCTTGATGTTCGTGCTGGTTGCCCCTCAGACCCCCACGCCTCCACACAGAACTTCCCACCCACGTGTCCTTGGTGCTCCCACAATATCCTACACACCAGTGTCTTCCGTGCCCCCTAAGGTCACCAACTACAGAAACCCCCTCCGACCTTGGTGCGCCCAGGGCCCTCCGTTACCTGTTTCCTCAAACCCCCCTTACCCCTCGACAGAAGGCCTCCAGCTCCATGTCCTGGGCGCGCTGCCAGCCCCCTGTGCCCTCGGCGGCCCCCAGACACCACGACCCCGTACCCTTGGTGGTCCCGCGCCCACCTTTGATGCTGATGCCCAGCCCACCGGCGTCGGCCTTGCGCACCGTCACGCGGCGCCGCTGGAGCAGTAGCGCCTCAGGCAGCTGCGGGGGCCCCGCGCCTGGCTCCGCAGCGCCGTTTAGCTGCGCGGGCTCCGGCTCCCGCGGAGCGCCGGGATCGGGGCCAGGGTCGCCGTCGGCGGGGCTCACGGTCAGCACGTCCTCCGCCAGACTCAGCAGCACTCGCTGCCACCGCTCGCCGCCGGCACCCGAGCCCGCCCCAGCGCGCAGCTCCAGCAGCCCGGTACGCGGGGCGCGCCTGCCGGACGCCATCTTCGCCTCCGAGACCCCGGACCGCTGTGCTTGCCCTGTCCTGCCGTGCCCTGCCCGTTCCTACCAAGCACCCTGGGCAGAGGGCAGCGGGGGCCCGGCTGGGCCAGCTGCCACCCTACCCTGGCCGCTGGGGGAGGAGCTCTGGGGGCGGGGCTACCAGGGGTGTGGCCAGCGCTGAGGGCGGGGCCTCGGGCAGGAGCAGGAGGCCGGAGCGGGGCCCGAGAGCCCAGGGCCTCCGAGTGGAACTACCCAGGTGGCGGCTTAGAAGGAGCGGGGCGGGACCACGAAGTAAGGCGAGAAGCCTGAGAGGCGTGGTGCTGGGCGGGGAGTCAGGGGGCGGGGCTTCGCTTCGGGGGCGGGACCCAGTGATCCCGCGCAGGGGTCTCTGCGCTAGGAATGTCCGTCGGGGGCCGGGACTGTAGCTCGCGGACATGGGAGCGCATGAAAAAGGGACAGAACCACGTATCCTGGTGCGAAGCGTTGGGCGTCGTGCTGCTTATGGCGGAGCGCTGGACTCCAGGGCTTGAGTTTAAGAGGTAGACATCGGCCGGCGCGGTGGCTCACGCCGGTAATCCCAACACTTTGGGAAGCCTAGATGACAGCCCAGAAGCTCGAGACTGCAGTGAACCGCGATCGTGCCACTGCACTCCAGCCTGGGTGACAGAGCGAAACCCTGTGTCAAAAAAAAAAAAAAAAGGTAGACACTGAGCCACGAGAGACTACAGGCAGAGTTGTTAGTTGGAGAGCTGAGGAAGAAGCTGGTTTCCCATCGAGGTAGTCGAGGCTTTGGTCTGTGGGCGTGGCTTCCAGATGTAACAGGCCCCGCCCCCTGGAGAAGAGCGCAGCCGACTCCGCTTAGGGCTTAGGCAGGATCCCCACTTCAAAACTGGAGGGAAATTTAAGAGATTAATCCCTGACTCTGTTCACAGTCGACGATAGAAAAGCCTGAAGTCCCACACTTTGAGGCCTGGCAGGAAAATCCAGAACTCCTAGTGTGTGGGAAGAGGGCTGCAAGGTGGGGCTCTGGGTCTGGGCGTCTGGAGACCTGGTTTCTAATCCTTGCTACCTCTGTTAGCTCAAAGTCGACTTTGGTCCCCTCATATCACTGCTCTAGGCCCCAATTTCCTCATCCATAAAATGTGGATCATAATAATACCTACTACACAGGGCTGGTGTGAGAATTAAATCAATGTGAAAACACGTGGTAAACTGTGAATCCCTATGCTATAGAAATAATCACTTTCGGCGGGCAAAGTGGCTCAACCCTGTAATCCCAGAACTTTGGGAGGCCGAGGCGGACAGATCACCTGAGGTCAGGTGTAGGGTCCAGCCCTACTAGGGTCGCGGGGTGTCCCCTATCACTGTGCTGAGGCACTGGATCCAAGAAATAAGGCGACAGGACACCAAAGGACTGGATAAAGACAGCTAGGCTCCGGGGGCCAACGCCACTTACAAGCGGAGACAGGCGACGCCCTGAGCGTCCAGGCACATCTGTATTTATTAGGTATACGTTGGGGGAAGGGTAGTGAATGAGGTCACCTTAAGGATAGTGATAGGGTCAAGACAATCACGTGTGCAATAAGCAAAGGGTCCACCTCCATTAGGTCACTGAGACAGGAGGTGGTCAATGTGCAGCAAGGGGTCCACCCCTAAGGAGGTGGACAGTGTGCAGTAAGGAGGGTACAGTGTGCAACATCTCTTATCTAGGGGTAGGCTACTTCTAGTAATTCCTATAGGAGGATGCTCTGAGTCAGCACAATAGCGAGAGAGCTGACAGGGTGTACAGCCACATAGGCTTAATTATACTGGAGGTGTTTTAAGCCCTCAGTATGCAGGATTGCCAGCCTTAGGCCAGCTTTCCAAAAGAACTGGACATAAGATACTACAACTCCTTTCGGGAGGAGTGACTCTTGCTCCAAGGCTGCCATGCAGCAGGTGTCTTTACGATACTGAACACTGCCTGCCATGTAGCACATGCCCTTTCAGGCAGGGGCACTACCACCCGGGTCATTGATTCTTGTCCTGGTGTGGCTGTTTTGGGATATGTTGGGCAATAAATAGAACCACACCAGTGTTTAGGCTCCCTGAACTTTTGGGTGAAATCCTCTCCATAAGCTACAATCAAAAAGAACAAGAAAAAGAAAAAACTCAGGGCCAGGCACAGTGGCTCACGCCTGTAATCCCAACACTTTGGGAGGCCGAGGTGGGTGGATCACTTGAGGTCAGGAGTTCCAGGCCAGCATGGCCAATGTAGCAAAACCCCGTCTCTACTAAAAATACAAAAAAATTAGCCAGGCATGATGGCAGGCTCCTGTAATCCCAGCTACTCATGAAGCTGAGGCAGGAGAATTGCTTGAACCTGGGAGACAGAGGTTGCAGTGAGCAGAGATCACACCACTGCACTCTAGCCTAGACGATAGGGCAAGACTCTGTCAAAAAAAAAAAAAAAGGAATTTTACTTGCTGTTTTTTGAGATGGAGTCTGACTCCATCTCCCAGGCTGGAATGCAGTGCCTTGATCTTAGTTCACTGCAACCTCCGCCTCCCGGGTTCAAGTGATTCTCCTGCCTCAGCCTCCCGAGTAGCTGGGACTACAGGCGCACACCACCACGCCTGACTAATTTTTGTATTTTTATTAGAGGCAGGGTTTCACCATGATGGCCAGGATGGTCTCGATCTCTTGACCTCGTGATCTGCCTGCCTTGGCCTCCCACAGTGCTGGGATTACAGGAAAGAGCCACCGTGCCCAGCTGGAATTGTTTTAAGTTAAAGTGATGAGTGTCAAAACAGGGGAGACACAGGTTTTTTTTTTTTTTTTTTTTTTTTTTTTT